AGAAGATCCTTGAGGTAGGAGATACTATTCTAATAATCTCACTTCGTATCCCTCGTTTAAGCACACATAAGCAATGTCGTCATCGCCCTCGCCACCTAGACCCTAGACTTATCCTAGTCTGATGATCCATATGTGGCGTTAAAGAATTTCCTCAAGTGCAAGGAGGATTTGAGTGCAATATTCAAACTTGAATCTTGATGCACTGGGTTTCATTGTAGGTTAAGTCATTGAGAGAATTTCACTGTTGATTTAATTAAGGAAGCATGGGTCACATCTCGGTGCATCATGTCTAGTGCCTTATTCAGTTTGTGAATTAGGGTCAAGTGTCTAGTGTCACTGTGCATTCGAGAATTAGGTGAATGGACTCTTACATAGGGTATGCTCCTAAAACCTTGGGAGGTTACACTGCAGAGATTCGGTAGATGGACTCTCACTTAGGGTGTGCTCTTAAAATTTAGAAAGTTTATGCTGAGAATTAGGTGGATGGGCTCTCACCTAGGGTGTGCTCCTAGTGTGCTCCTAAAATCGACCCGAATTGACACCTAAAGTGGTTCCAAAATAGTGCATTAAAATCAAACCTTATCATCAATCCCCATCTTTATGACTTAACCATTGAAAAATAACAAAACAAATGAAAAGAAAAGATTGATCCACTTTCAAAACTAACAAATCAAAAGAAGAAATAACAAGTGAATCAACCTAAAAAAACGTTTAAAATTTTTAAAATTTTTCAACTGTAATTAAATAGACTCTCGAGAAGAATGCTTAAGTTTGTTCCAAGACAGTACACAAAATCGACCTGAATTGTCACCTAAAGTGGTTCCAAAACAGTGCATTAAAATCAAACCTTAAACATTAATTTTTAAAACCCCCAAATAGCTCTCATGCAAACTCAAGCATCAATTTTAAATGTCCCAAAATCAGCTAGAAAATCCAGTACAAAATAGTGTGTAAATTCTCCAAAATCAGTTAACAAGCTGGCTCTAAAATAGTACGTGAATCAGTAGGCAAAGCCCTAACAATCGCAAGGTTTAAACACACCAAACAACAGGTAAAACAGCTCCCAAGGGAGGTATTTGGAAATAAAAGAACATAGACCTACAAAGAAACATTCAAGCCCTGGAATAACAGTCATCTCGAGTCTCGTAGTATTCCCGTTTGAGTGCTCGAAGTACGAAATCAGCAAATGAGTATTTAAGATCGGCAAGCAAATGGTCATTGGAACCTCACAATGTTTGCATCTAAGTGCTTGAAACATAAAACCAACAACGAAGCATTTAAAATCAGCAAGTAAATGATTATTGGAACCTCACAATATTTGCATTTCAACTAAACATTTAAAATCAGCAATCATATTGTTTATATTTCTCCAAAATCAGTAAAAAAATGTATGGAACACATGAATATACAATAATGATTCGACGCTTGTCCGATGGAATGCAATAAACATTTGCTATTAGTTGCATTAATATGACTAGAATCATTTTTT